AATTCCCCAAATTCCAAATCCCCCTAATTCCCATTTCCCCAAATTCCAAATCCCCCTAATTCCAATTTCCCCAAATTCTAAATCCCCCAAATTCCAAATCCCCCAAATTCCAAATCCCCCAAATTCCAAATTCCCCAAATTACTACACTCCCAAATTTCTAAATTTCCCCTAAAACCCCAAATCCCCAAAACCTTGAATTTCCCCTAAATCCCTAAATCCCTAAATTTCCACCCACAATAAATACAATGTCTCACTTCCATCGCAGTAAAAAGTTCACACGCAATCTATTGGAAAATAATTGAAAAGTCAGTCGCGCCACCTGTCTTGTATATCGCCGATACTATTATTAGAATTGTATGTTTTGATGGACAGAATCGTGTGAAAAATTCACGATCGCCGTGACGATTCCGCTAACACTAAAAAATTAAAAGTTATTGCACGTTCTACCACTTTTACACGTGTACATATTTCATGCTCCTCGTTTATCATTCACCCTTCTGCTCGACGAAATAATGATAGTACAGTCATAACAATGGACGAATAACAATAGCAACTAATTCGACAGTCCAAGTAAAATTCGGAGAAACATTAAAAACAGAGAAATTAATTCGCAATTAACGAGAATCATTCAGTTGATTAAAATAAACATTTTGTTAAATCTTGTAAATGATTCTGGTTATAACAATATTTGACGTTTGTACAAAAATCAGATTCAATCAGAAATATCACGTAGTTGAAATAACAATTAAATAGTGCTATAATATGCACAAGTTTAATGTGGCGTTGGTAAATAATCACAGGGTTGTTGATTAAACGATTGATAAGAAAAATGTGGAATTGAAATAATTTTCTGCTTCGTTCGCAATGTGTGCCGAGTATGCAAAATACCACGAGTACATTAGCACGCGATGTGTACATCGAAGATCATTATTATTAGTTTCCTGTTATTTGTGAAAATGTTGCGTTTGTTGCTAGGATTATGCTATTAGCAGGGGAGTCGTTGCTGGAGTGACTGATTTGCGATAAAAGGAGAGAAAGTGACTGACATCGGCGTAAATAGGGTTTTCATTTGAAGGGAGACTTGTGTTAGGTCGCTGCGAGTTGAATTACCATGTGTTAAACCGCTAGGAGTTGACATACTATGTGTTAAATCATCACGAGCTGATTTATTAAGGGTTAGGTTGATACGTGTTGAATTACCGTGCGTTGAATTATCATGTGTCGAATTTACCACGCGTCGAATTTATCAAGCACCGAATTTACCACGTATCGAATTTACCACGCGTCGAATTTATCAAGCATCGAGTTTGCCACGCGTCGAATTTTCTAAGCGTCGAGTTTGCCACGCGTCGAATTTACCACGTCTCGAATTTACCACGCGTCGAATTTTCGAAGCGTCGAGTTTGCCACGCGTCGAATTTTCCAAGCGTCGAGTTTGCCACGCGTCGAATTTACCACGCGTCAAATTACCACGCGTCGAATTTACTACGCATCGAATTACCACGCGTGCGTCGAATTTACCATGCGTCGAATTTACCACGCGTCGAAATTACCACGCGTGAATTTACTACGCATCGAATTACCACGCGTCGAATTTACTACGCATCGAATTACCACGCGTCGAATTTACTACGCATCGAATTACCACGCGTCGAATTTACTACGCATCGAATTACCACGCGTCGAATTTACTACGCATCGAATTGCGTCGAATTTACCACGCGTCGAATTACCACGCGTCGAATTTACTACGCATCGAATTACCACGCGTCGAATTTACTACGCATCGAATTACCACGCATTGAATTTATCACGCGTCGAATTACCACGCATTGAATTTACCACGCATTGAATTTACCACGCGTCGAATTTCCACGCACGTATCGAATTATCACGCATTGAATTTATCACGCCTCGATTTACCACGCATTGAATTTACCACGCGTCGAATTTTCCACGTATCGAATTATCACGCATTGAATTTATCACGCCTCGATTTACCACGCATTGAATTTACCACGCGTCGAATTTTCCACGTATCGAATTATCACGCATTGAATTTATCACGCCTCGATTTACCACGCATTGAATTTACCACGCGTCGAATTACCACGCATTGAATTTACCACGTGTCCAATTACTATGCATCGAATTTACCACGCGTCGAATTACTGCGCATCAAGTTATCACGCGTTGAATTACTGCGCATCAAGCTATCTCGCACCGAATTACCACGCATTAGACCGCCACGAATCAAATTACTGCGCCTCTACTAGCCACGTGCTAAATCACCACGCGTTAATTCGCCACCAGTAGAATTAGTACGCGTTTTAGTACTGAATCATCCTACCTACAACCACGTTATAAATCACCGCACGTTACAAGCTTGTATCTCCAAAGTGAAAATGTATTAGGTCCTAAACCTCCCTAATTACGCCAACGGCAGTCGATGACCATTTATCACTAACAATCGAAGTCGTTTCGAATAAGAAGCAATGACATCCGTCATCGCCAACGTCAATGCGAACGTAATTAGCATCAGCTAGAATTAATTTACCGCACGGAATTCGCCGAGGTGATTACTCTCCGGCAAAAGTATAAAGCAATCAGTTATAATTTATCGTTTACGTTGGTGAAACGGCTTTCTGTAAACGCGTTTGTTATAAATAAGTATTTTTGTCTTGGTTGATCGCTTGCCAATGCACCGGTGGTCTAATGCAAACGTATGGCGATCATTCGGAACACAACGATCCCACTGTGCTCTAAAGACAACGCATATCTTTATGCAGTTCACCTACGGATACACGTATCGCAGTCGCATTGGAATTCTATGAAATTACATCCATTTATGATACATTGCACTTCGCACAGCACGATAAACACGCGAGTTTTTATTTACATCCTGCTCCCGATTCGCAGTCTATCTCTATCTGAATCTTAACATTCTATCTCTTTGCGGTTAAATACCTTTTGCTACTCTCTACAACGGATCGATCTACTTCTTCTAAAGGAACGAATGAGTCAGACACCATTTTGCCACGTTACGACGAGTACAAAGATCGAGCCACGGAATCCAATTTGGTGCCGATTGCGAGACATTTGTTAGCATTATTCCAGAAAACGTTTCATAACGTACACCTACAGTGGGTTTGAAGAGAATAGGAGTTGTAGGTTATGTAGATAGTACTCGACAGTGGGTTTATTGTTAATAACGTCGGGATTAGAAAATTGAATGTTAGGGTAAATCGCTTGTGAATACTTTGAATTGTTCTCGAGTGCATATGAGTTTTATGGTACATTGGTACCAAGGTAATTTGAAATTAATTTAGGTGGTTGCAACAGTCAAGTTTAATAGTTAGGTCATAACTATGTTTGAAGTAATTTTGAAGAAGGAATTTTTATTGTAGAATGAAACTAATTGTTAGTAACTTTTAATGTAACCGTAATAACTTTACTGAGCATAATTATCATGTACGATTAACTGTTTGTAATTGGAGATAATTTTAAACCTTTTTGGAAAAGTATATTGTCATTAAAAATTTACTTGCTTTTTTAAATTTTATACACGAGAATTAGCGTGTAGATATTTATTTACAAAAACTATTCCCATGGCAACACTTCATGGGTCGGCCATATTGTGACAACAACGAAACTCATTCTCGTTTGCTTTATCGAATTATAGCCTTTTTATAGCATTAAAGATATTGAAGTATTCTTATGAATAAATACAGTGTCTGTGATACAACCACTTTAAAAGATTCTAATAAAGTTAGAAACTCTTTCAATTTCGTATTATCGAGATAAAAAGTTTATGTGGAAGTAGGAGGAAGACTAGAACTTTCCGTAGTTTCGTGGAAAGCATGTGGTACAATAATCTTCTGTTCTCGTATCAAGCAATTTACTCGGATAACTGAAAGATTTTGATTTAATGTACAGGATGAATTTTGATTATAAATAATTTATAAACCAATGTATGTATAGAATTTTATCGTATTTATACAGATAGTGGTAGTTTCATAATTTAGCTTTGAATCACCCTGTATATTAACAATAAGTGTTTAATGAGTACTATCTACCAACTCCTGAATCCTTTTCTAAATCCCCTGTACAGAAAACAAAACATGAATATTTATTTCATAATAAAAAATTTTTTGAAGAAGAAAATTTTGTCAACAAAATTTAGAGATATCTACAGAAGAGATATCTGTGATATGGGAATTCTAGTTTCGTCACGGCGTTCGCATATTGCACTGTTGCCCTGCATACCACTCACCCCCATAACGTATCAACAACCACGGGAAGAATGATCAACGTAAAAAGTGCCTAACACGTTCCATGCTGCGAATATTATTACATCTAGACAGCTTTAAAGAGCAAAATTATAACATTGTATAATTTTGTAATGAACCTTAAACTTCACGCGGCACGGAAAGTGTTAATCCCTCATTTTCTTTGACATTTGTAAAAGATACTAGCATACTGGAGAATTGTAATTATAGATTAATAGAAATCGCGCAGATTCTGTACAAATATTTTTGCTATCGTCTACGGAGAAAAAATCGTTAACGTAACAAATGTGAACATCTTGCAACTTAAACGAGCCTCGATGCTTTAGAACAGTGATGGACTACGGGCGCAGGGCGTTCAGGTGCCCCGAGGGTACTGAGGTTGTTAATTTTTAAATTTTTAAATTTAATAGTTTGACGGTTTTCAATTTTAATTTTTCAATTGTAGAAATTTGCAAGTCTTCAAATTTTAGAATTTTGAGGTCTTCAAACTTTTTTCTTAAGGTTTTAAATTTTTTGTTCTCAAGTTTTAAAGTTTCCAAGTTCTCAAGCTTTCAGATTTTCAAGTTCAAAAATTCTCAAGTTAATATTTATAATTTCTAATTTAAAAATTTTTCAAATATAAATTATCAACCTTGAAAATTTCTAAATTTGGAAATTGCAAAATTAGAAGTTTGCAAATTTAAAAATTACAAAATTGTATACATTTAAATGCGAAAATTCTGTCGCAATATTTCTAAACCTCCCTGCACCGATGCCATCACCGTGTCACGTCATAAATCTAAAATAGATCACGAAAATTAGAAACAGTCTCAGTAAAACTCAACGAAAACTATCACACAGGCAAAAAATATGTCCACAAACAGACTCACGACAGAGCCTCTACAGAGCAGCAGCAGCTCTCTACGAAGGTAACCACGACGGACATGGGAGACCCTATGTGCAACAAAGATCATCAAAAGATAGTACTCTGACCGAGAGAAACACGACGAACACGTCGGAGTGTATGTTCAAAGTGTGTTGAAACAGCAACGTTGAAGATTCCTCCCCTCGTGTTTTCATCTTCTTGATGGCTCTTCCAGGTTTCTTCTCGAGGATCGAGAATGAAATCGCGTTGATACGTTTCCTCGCTGATGAGAATCCTTTCTCCTTTGTATCAGGATTACTTGGCTTGTGGTCAGGGTCAAGGTCACGATGGTCAAGATGCTAATGTGGTTCTGTGCCATGAAGGGTGCTGGTGCTGATGTTGATGCTGATGCTGTTGCTGGTGATGGTGCTGTTGTTGTTGCTGTAGTTGCCTCTTTTGACTGGAAAATAAGAATAGGATTGTATGATTATTTTCACAATGCTGATTGTTTATCGATTTTATTGATTTATTGATGTTTATTCATTTGGGAGTTTTGATGAAATGTTTGCAAAGGTGGGATTGAATTTGGATAGTAAATTTGTTGTTAAGTTTTAGGTTTTACTATTTAGGGATTTGTTTGGGAAAATAAGAATTTGTGGATTTGAAAATTACTATGAAGTCGGAAAACTATTTTCCGATCGTCAATGCAAGTGAAGTAAATCTTAAGAAAGAACCAATAAATTGTGCAGTTTTTGTGTTACACGAGTGTAAACTTGTCGCTGTCAGACACTTGGCTCGAAGACGTGAAGTGAAAGGAGCATTAAATACCATAAAAATGCAAGCTTGAGTTATTGATCATTAACAACATAGTGTTGCGTGTCAGAAAAATTCAGTCATCACAACATCTTATGTTACTTGTACTTTTAGATCAAATACTTCATTCCATTGTTGCAATCAGACTATAAAAATACAAATACTAATATTTTTTGTCATATGCTATATTCAACTGATCTATTAAGGTAATATTCTTCTTAAACCATATTATAGTTGATGAAAGATCAAATTTAGCTTGCAGTGAGTTAAATTGACCTTGATATCATCTCAGAGAAAATAAGATGTGTAAAAGTCAAATTGGCTCATGACGATCCGCCATTTTGTTGACGAATAGCGTCGCGATAGGAACATGGCGGTTTTGAATCAATAAATTCGTCGAGACATTCGGACATCGTCAGTTGATTTAAACTGTGCTCTGTCAGATGTTATAGTGATTCAAATAAATGATCGCAAGTAAACTTGTATATCAGTCACGTAGGCAAGTTACACAATATGCAATCTTACATATTAAAATTGCAAAAAGGAGATATTACAAAACTTCGTACTGTATAAAATCAGTTGCTAAAAATTTACTTCTGTACATATTAAATTTGTTAAGTATTTCTGTACATATCATTAAATTTATTAAGTATAGTATATTAAATATTATAGTAATTATTAAATTGCATATAACAGCATTGTAAATAAATTTTTATCTTAAATACAAATTAATATTATATGTGTACATATAGTTTTGATAACAGAAATAATTATCTAGAAAATAATAAATTTTTATTCAGACCGAATTAAGAAGTTAACTAAATCGAAGTACAGGTTTTAAAATAAAATCTGAATGTAGTTCGTGATAACACGTCGATTTGCTCTCTTCACGAGAGAATAAAGTGGCTTTTTTCCGAGCAGTATTAACGACTGACGAAATCTGTTATCGTATTCATGTCGGCCGTTTCGTCCCTCTTAACCGAATTATTTTCATACCATGGCCACGACACGAAAGCTGGAACAGCGTGAAAAATAACATAACAAGGCTTTGAGATCGTGTAATTGTGCCATTATAATTGAAACAAGGACAAGGTTTCGTTATATCCGCTGCATCACGTTTCTCCGTCAATTGTGAATATAATTCACCGAGATTCATCGGGTAAGAGCTAATTAAAAATTAATTGCCCGCGTAGTTCCTCGGTCTATATCGTGGTATGATTATTGTCAAATGATGAGCTGAACAACATGCGAACTTATGTCATTCGATGATGTTCTGTGATGATAAAAAAATAGTCTCAAGGTCATTTTGGGATTTTTGGAATTTTTGAGGTTTATGGGACTTGGGATTTTGGGATTTTTGGGATTTCTGAGGTTTTTGGGACTTTTGGGATTTTGGGGATTTTTGGGATATTTAGGATTTTTTGGGTTTTTGGGAGTTTTGGGATTTTGGAATTTTTGAGGTTTTTGGGACTTTTGGGATTTTGGGATTTTTGGGATTTCTGAGGTTTTTGGGACTTTTGGGATTTTGGGAGTTTTGGGATTTTGGGAGTTTTGGGATTTTGGGAGTTTTGGGATTTTGGGAGTTTTGGGATTTTGGGAGTTTTGGGATTTTGGGAGTTTTGGGATTTTGGGAGTTTTGGGATTTTGGGAGTTTTGGGATTTTGGGACTTATGGGATTTTTGGGATATTTAGGATTTTTTGGGTTTTTGGGAGTTTTGGGATTTTGGGATTTTGGGATTTTGGGATTTTGAGATTTTGGGATTTTGGAATTTTGGGATTTTGGAATTTTTGGGATTTCTGAGGTTTTTGGGACTTTTGGGATTTCTGAGGTTTTTGGGACTTATGGGATTTTGGGGATTTTTGGGATACTTGGGATATTTAGGATTTCTGAGATTTCTGGGACTCTTGGGATTTCTGAGATTTCTGGGACTCTTGGGATTTCTGAGGTTTTTGGGACTTATGGGATTTTTAGGTTTAGGTATCTAGGGATTTGTGGATATGAGAATTTAGAGATTTGGTATTTAAAAATGTGAAAATTTAAACAGTTAGAAATTGAAAGACAAATTTTTTAGTTTGATCTCTTGAGAATTTACAAAACTATAAATAGTGTTTGAAATCAACAAATAGTGAATTGCATTCGAAGTTATATTTTCCATGATTACTTTGTCACTGGTCAGGGTAATTTACACCAGGAAGAAGTTAATAGAGATTAATTGCGTAGATAAAATCTACATTGAGATAAGATTATGCAATTTGCTTATGCATTGTATAATGGTATAGTGTATAATGATAGGTTACTAGGCTATTAATTAGTAGTTGATACTGTTAATTGTTAGCAGTAACTGTTATTAATTGGATAATCGCTAGAACTAAGTAACAGAAATAGATACAGTAGATAGCTGTTATAATATCACTCTAAAATCCAACAACCCTGTTTTCTGCAATATAACAAAATTCTACTTTCAATTTTCTACTTCAATTTTTGTTTGTCACCATAAACCAACATAGTTCAACTATAAAAATTATGTAATCATTATACTTTATTCCCAAATTAACATCTTTCATTTTAAATACAAAATAATCCCCATTAAATTAATACACAATTTTCAATTTAATAGCAGAAAACGTCTAATTAATAAATTTTCTGAACACCGCAGCTCCATAATTAGATCATAAATTTAAATTAAACATCATCAAGATTAACTTAAACAAGATTACACACAATAACTCGATTTTCTTTCGCTCTAAGAATTACGGGTTTAACTTTCAAACTATCCTATTCTTGGCTCGGAGATCCCATTAGAATTACGACACCTAACCTTCGTCATTTTCTATAAGCATATTTCCGCTAACTTATCGATACTTGTGTCGTAACATATTCTCTAAAGTTTTTCTTCTAAGTAAAAATATATTAAAGTTAAAAAAATAGTTATTCATGAACCCGCCTACCAACGCAAAATTAAAAAAAAAATGTACAAGAATAGGTAAAGCTGATATTAAAATTCGTTTGAAATATGAGAAAGTTGCAGAAAACGAGCTTGGTTATTAAAACCTGGATTATTTCCTATACGGCGTAAAACCTGAAGATCGAGATCTTATCTAAAAGTTGCAGCTTATCTTTATTAAACAGAATGTACCTATATGAATAATTATAATCCTGTTCAACGTAAAACAAATGATAAAAGGGAGGCATCGATGTTTCGTTTGAAATACACATTCATAAGTTGCGAGGGAACAGGATCGCTACTTGAAGTACAGGCAATTAATTTTCCCGCGGTATCGTCACTTCTTTTCTCCGTCGAACGAGCACGTCAATTATGAAATATGAATTCGCGATCGAAGGTTCACCAGAACTTCTGCTTTTTCAACTGTGTTCGAAAGGCTCCCTGTAGAGAAGCCACTGCAATCATAGCGAAGCTCGCAATATTGCGACCTTCCTGTCCGCGGACGTTTTTCCGTGTCTGTTTGGAAATCTCGCGTTTCATTAAGTCGACAACAAATCGATACTGATATTCGACGGATTAAAAAGATACCGACTTCTTCTGGGCCGTCTGTCAACAACGGTGACGTGCAATTGCGTCCGTGAGAGCCGAGTGCACAAAATGGCGGTGCATTCGCGGGCTGACGTCAATCTTTTGTGACGATCTTTCGGAATTTTTTAATTGATGGATTGAATGGATTTGGGACGGAGGATGGAGGTTGGATTTGGGGTTTGGGGGTTTGGGGGTTTGGGGAGTTGGGAAATTGGGGATTTGGGGATTTGGAGATTTGGGAATTTAAGAATTTGGGGATCTGGAGATTTGGAGATTTGAAGAGTTAGAAATTTGGAGATTTGGGAATTTGGAGAGTTGGAAATTTGGAGAGTTAGGAATTTGGAGAGTTGGGAATTTGGAGAGTTGG